GGGAGCTTACGATTTTTTGTTGATTTCTCCAATATTTTACTTGTTTTCTAACGTAACGACATCAAGCATTGGATGCTTTAAAAACATCAATGATTGATCATGTGACAAAGAACGGTTAAATTGACATCGAGTTGGTATAATCACAAATCATTGTATGGGTTCATTAGAAAATATAACTAATGAGTACATCTTTCAACTTTTGTAAATATAATTAATGAGCACATCTCTCATATTTTGTAAATGACATTTTCATATTGTAACTGAAATAAGTTCAACTTATAGATTTTTGGGACATGAATGGGTCGTGGTTAATATACTCGAGTTTATAGATAAAACTGCAAGTGTTTATTTAATAGTACTTGTATCGTTCTATTTTTTTCTCCAATATTTTTGTTTCTTTTCAACACAATGACCTCAAGTATTGAATCTCATAACTTCTAAAAGTTAGAAATATTGATCATGTGATAAAGAACAATTGAATTAACATAGATTATATGATATCGAGTTGGTGAAATCACATATCATTGTATTGATTCATTAGAAATATAACTAATGAATACTTCTCTCAACTTTTGTAAATAGCATGTCTATATTTCAACTGAAATGAGTTAAATTTTTTGTTTTTTGAAACATGGATGGGTCGTGATTATTTATACTCGTGTTTACAGACAGAAGGCACAAATGTCGTTTAATAGTACTTGTGTCGTTCTATCAATTTTTTTCAATATTTTTCTCTTTTTAGATCATCGACCTCAAGTATTGGATATTTTAACTTTAAAAAGTCAGAAAGTTTGATCATGTCACAAAAGAATTGTTGAATTAAAATAGATTATATGATATTGAGTTGGTGAAATCACTAATCATTGTATTGATTCATTGCAAAATAAAACTAATGTGTACATCTCTCAACTTTTGTAAACAAAATATCCATATTATAACTAAAATGAGTTAAACTTATTGATCTTTGGTGCATGAATAAGTCATGTATGCTTATACTCTTGTTTATAGATAAAAGGGCATAAATGTCATTTTTCTTTACGGTAACAGTACTTGTGCCTTTCTCATGAACGAGTTTGTATTTTGGTAACGTTACTTGTATCGTTCTCTTAAAACTTTTAATCTCAGTAAAGACAATGTTACCGTTCTTAAGGACCTTTTCATTCTGTAAATGACACTGACACTCTCTTTTAGAACTTTTCATGTCAATAACGACATAAGTCCCGTTTTTATGAACAAGTATATTCACAAACATAATGATGGTTATACCGTTCTAATAGACGTTGTCATCTCAGTAATGATACAAGTGTCGTATAGGGATGATAATTTGAACCGTTAAAATCGAAAATTGCGGTTAACCGAACCGAATGGGGCGAAAATAACCGAACCGATGGTACAATGGGACGGATATGGTATTTGATTTTATAGAACCGGTTCGTGGAGGTGAGGGTATGGTATATATACCGTCGAATCGAAACCAAACCGATTACCTGCTTAAAAAACCATTCTTTTATTTGGAATGACAAGATTTAGTGAGGAGGAAGTTGACAAAGAAGTACATTTTTTTATTTAAATCTTAGTTAAAACAATTCTGGATTAGGTAGTATCGTTATATTCTCTACTTACATTTTTTATTTACTATATAGGAATCAATTTTGAGTGCTAACCTATGCTAGTAAGAGTTGTGACGAAGAATGAAGATTGAATATGAGTTAAAGTTGAAGCGTTGAATTATTGAGCATGAATCAAGTAACTACAATGCACAAAAATCAAGAATGAAGGAAAAATTTAGTATTGTTATATTCATGATATTGTTTGTTAAATTTGTATTTTACAATTGGGATTTGGGATAGTGTTTATATTTTCGTATGGAATATTGTGTTTTGATTTTCATTGACTCTCTTTTCATAAATTGTTTTATATCAATTTGACAGATGGACACATAAAAAATAATTCATTTTCATTGTTATTAATTGAATCGAACCGAGATGAACTGAGATATGAACCGAACTAAATCGAACTGATTTATGTGGTTATGGTGCGATTATGGTATAACAAAAAATTTAGCGGTTCGGTGATGATTTTGGCCGAACTAAACCGAAACCTAACCATTGTCATCCCTAGTGTCGTAACGACAATTATATTGTTTTGATAGATGTTTTCATCTCAATAATGGCATAAGTAATGATACTTATGATAAATAACTATTGAAATGACGTTATACCATTCTAATAGACATTTACGTCAGTTATAACATTTTAATAGACGTTCCCGTCCCAATAACGAGACTTGTATTGCTCTGTATTTTTCTACTGTCTTTTATTAAGCAGAACGACCGTAAGGAATGGGCCCCCTAATGTATCGAAAACATAAAGTTTGACCATGTGATAAATAATTGTTGAAATGACATAAATTATATATTCTCAAGTTGGTGAAAGCATAAGCGATCCTAATGATTCATATCGATTAAGTAACGACATATCTCTTAACTTTTGAGATGAAAATGTTCTTGAGAGAAGCACCAATGCCGTTATTGACTTATAAGAGTCCATTATAATCTATACTATTTCAATAATTTTTTATCACGTCCATTACTTGAGGTCATTGTGTTGGAAACAAATCAAAATATAGGAAAAATAACATAACAGTACCATTGTCGTTACTAAGAAGAAAATTACCCTCGTTTCATTCTATTTGTAAACACGATTATAAGCAGTTACGTCATATTTGTGTACCGAGAACCAGTATGTTGAACTCATTTATGTTGTAACATAGACATGACATTTATAGAATTTAAGATTTGCTCATTACTTATATTCTAATGAATAAGTAGAATGACTTGTTCTTTCATCAACTTGATATCATATAGTCTATATCATTTCAACTATTTTTTGTTACATGATCAACATTTCCGTCTTACATACGTTAGAGGGTTCGATACTTGAGGTCGTTGCATTGGAAACATTTCAAAATATATAATAAATCAATAGAACGATAGAAGTGTTGTTAGAAGGATGAAAAAGTCATTAAAAACGACACTTATGCCATTACTGAGATGAAAAGTTCTAAGGGAACGACACAAGTTTTATTTAGAGGATGATAAGGTCCTTTACAGATGGCACTTGTACTATTACTGAGATGGAAGTTCTAAAAGAATGACACAAGTGCCATTATCGAAATATAATTTGTCCATGAAAACGGCACTTGTGCCATTACTGTGAAGAAAATGACACTTGTGTCATTATATCTACAAACACGAGTAGAAGTAGTCACGACCCATTCATATCCTAATAACCAATAATTTGAATTCATTTTAGTTGTGAGATAGACATGCCATTTACAAAAATTGAGATATGTGCTTATTAATTATATTTTATAGTGAATCAATACAATGACTTGTGATTTTACCAATTTGATATTATATAACTTATAGCAATTCAGCTATTCTTTGCTATGTGAGCAACCTTCCTAACTTTTTTTAATTAGAAAATCCAATGTTTGAGGTCGTTACATTAAAAAAAATACTAGAGAAATCAATAGACGACATAATGGTCGTTAAACGACACTTATATCGTTCTGTCTATAAACATGACTATAAGCAGTCAAATCATCCATACCTCAAGAATCAATAAGTTGACCTTATTCAAGTTGCAAGATGGACATTCAATTTACAAAAATTGAGAGAAATGCTCATCAATTATATATTCTAACGAATCAATACAATGACTCGTGATTTCACCAACTCGAAATCATATAATCTATATCAATTCAAACATTAATCCACATGCAAACATCCGTGTACATATCTTATGTGTATGATTGAATAAATTTAACTCCAACTCCTTTCAAATATATCCTTCAAATTAGTGAACTTCAATAATCTAAATTTCTACTATAATAACTGCTATTACTACAACATGGAATACAAAATAAACATTAAAAATGAGAAATAATAAGAGAAAATAAATCACTAATCCATTACATTGCGTCTTCACGATCAATATGAAAACAACAAATGTACTTCATTGATTAGTTTTATTAATAGTTTCTTTATCACGTTATTGACACAATTCTTGATTATAACAATTTTAATAGATAAATTCCTCTTTAACCCATCATTTTCATAATTTCAAATGTATCAAAATTCATTAATGTTAAAAAAAAAAAAAAAAACTCAACTAAAATTATACAAATAAACAGTGAAATAATAAAATAATGCCTTTTTAAAAATAATTTCATGTTATTCCTACACCAATTGAAGCACAAAATGACATTTCAAAGTAAAAAATTAAAAATTAAAAAAAATGAAGGAAAAATTACCTTTTTACTATACCAATCCATAACAAAGATGGATGAAGTAGTGTCAAATAAACTTGAATGGAAGAAGAAATTTTTTGTAATCTTAAATGCACAAGAAATTGCGGTGAAGAAGTAGATGTTAGTTTCAAATTTAAAGAAAAGGGTTTCACATTGAGATTGAAGAAGAAATAAGGAGGTGAAAATGAGGGAAATTCGATGAATATTTCACTATTAATTGAAGGCTAATTTTGTCATTCGACCAATTAAAATATCTTGAATTTTATTTATTTATATATTTATTTTTATGTTGATCAAAAGCCATTCTTCGAACACTTTATCCAACCCAACTATTTGGCCAAATTTTCCTAGATAATAAACTCACAAATACGTAATGAACTAATTTGAAAATTAATACTATAAATTATTCAAAATTGGACGGCTCACAAATGCTCAAAATTGGTACTAGTGACCCGTTTGGTAGTCATTTTTTTCAAAATATATTTTTCTCTCTCTTCTTTTCAACCACATATTTTTTATTAAAATAATATTATACGTAAATCAAAAATTTTTATTATTTTTTAACTACACATTTCACATTAATTTACTATTGTAAAATATATTTTTATATAAAAATGTCTATAAAAAACCTCTAGTAAACTTCTTGAAAAATAAATAAATACATAAATAAAAAGACCATTTTCAACAACCCCAACTCTTCTTCCCACCAACCCACCAACCCACCCGTTTCAGTATAACAAATTTGTTTATTCTTCCGGTTAAAATCCATTTCCTAGATTCAAAGATCTTAGATTCAAACTCAATCCACCAAACTCTCCTAAAATGGCTGCTGCTACATCTCATTCTTTGCAGGCATCAACGAGAATTGCTTCTACACGCCCTCAGCTTAAACCCAATTCGGATTCACAAATTTCTAATTCTCTCTCTTTCTCTTCTCAATTGCGCAGTTTCTCGCTCAAGTAAGGTTCTTTTTTTGACTAATTTTTGTTTTTGTTCTAATTAATTGAATTTCTTGCTTATGTTTTTGAGAATTTTGTTGGGTTGACTGTGGTTTTAGTATCACTGCCGTTGTTAAATAATGCGTATTTTAAGGGTTCCAGTCAGTGAATCAATCGTGTTATGTATTGTAGAGAAGTAAAATTTACGTGCGTAAAATGATTGTTTTTCTTGCTCAGTTTTCCCAAGATTTTTATTGGGTTGACTGTGCTTTTAGTAACCTGCTGTTTAAATAAAGGATGCTTTATTGATTTCACTTAGCGAATTAAACATGCTATGTCTTTTACAGTGCTAAAATTTTTATTTATGTAAATGATTTGAGCGTCGAATATAATGGGATTCTTATAAATTTCTAAAAAGAGACAAAATCAACTTTATTGAAAAGGTGAATGTCCATTCTGTTACCGTTTTGATGCTTGGACTAATTAGAATGGCTATCATTTTGTAATAGAATATTAAGAGTTTGAATTCGAAATCCAAACTTTGCCATTCGGGTCTGCTTATATCAACTATCCATGGCTGTGTGACCTAATAATTCCATTTAGAAAGCAACTACAACATTACTTGTCTCTTGATGTTAAACTGACTCTTTTAGGTCTATTTAGTGCTAGAAGATGCAGTTATAAATCTGACTTTATCTATATTTCTTGATAGATCTTCACAATCTACAACAATGAGACAACTACATTCACGGAGAGTAAGTGCAGCTGTAAGGACAGAAAGCGATTCAGGCACAATAGAGGTTGATATCTCCTTGAGCCCTAGAGTAAATTCAGTGAAGCCTTGAAAGACCGTGGCTATAACCGATCAGGCAACTGCACTTGCTCAAGCTGGTGTGCCTGTTATTCGGCTAGCAGCTGGAGAACCGGATTTTGATACTCCAGCAGTAATAGCTGAGGTGACTTTGAAAATACAAAGTGTTAATCTTTCTCTCTCATATCAGCAGAATTAATGTGTCGTTCTATCTACTCATATATTGATCTTTTTGAACTTTAGGCAGGAATTAGTGCAATTCGAGAAGGATACACAAGATATACTCCTAATGCGGGTACTTTAGAACTACGTTCAGCTATTTGCCACAAGTTGAAAGGTATCTTGTCACATACCTATTTCTTTCTTTTTTTCTATTGATTTTCATTTATATCACTTTTTTGCTTTCTTTCTTTTCATCTTTTGATTTTCATTTATGGTAGAGGAGAATGGAATATCTTACACACCTGATCAAATTTTGGTGAGTAATGGGGCGAAGCAGAGTATTCTTCAGGCAGTTCTTGCAGTTTGTTCCCCTGGGGATGAGGTATACTTTAAACTTTCTAAGCATATCTATTTTATTTCTATTCTCTGGCTATTTTGGAAGTCAATTGTTTCAGCTTTTCAGCAAGAACAGTATATTAGAATGTCATTCACAAATTGAAGTGGGAGAAGTGAAACATCATTTTTCACATTTTGACACCTAAGTAGTGGTAGACGTGGAAATTAGAATTATTGGGAAAACATGTGTAAGGGATGTATTTGGGGGAAATTATATTATTCTGAACTTCTTGAACATGAGTTTTTTCCCAGTCAAGACAAGGAGTAAGAAATAATGTTTGTCATGATACATCAGGAATTGAATTTTTAAGGTGGAAAAGAGAGTATTTCTAAGTTTTGGTGGGTGTTTGGCACACCAGCTCCCCCAATCACCCTCCTTGGTTTGATGGCTTTTCTATCTAACTGCATACTATAAATAAAAAATCCCTCTAAATGTACCAGTGCATCAAAAATTGCTGAAGTTGGTTCAGAGTTGCTCTAAGTTGGAGTCAGGGAAATGTGTCCTTTAAATTAGGGGTGGGCGCGGGTCGGTTCGATTCGGTTCTAAAGAGAATCGAACTGAACCAAAATTTTTGGGTATCTAGTAAATGGAACCGTCGGGTCCAAATATAATTATGGAACCGTTCGGGTTCGGTTTCGGTTTCGTTCGGTTCAGTTTGGTTCGATTAGGTTCGGTTCCGTTCGGTTCTATACTATAATTAAATTTTTTAACATTTATAACAACATTATATAAATACAACTAATGATACATTCAATGGTTTAAGAATGCCAGAGACTAGTAGACTACCTTATTCAAATGATCGCTACGGTCAAAATTTCGGTCGGCGGAGGTCACAGTTTCGATCGGAGGTCACAGCGTCGGCCGACGATTGTATAGGTTTTGAAATGTTAGCGAGGCTGCGAGAGTGAATGCGAGAGTCGAGACAATGTTATGCACTTTAATGTAGGTGTTTATGGTTATTTAGTGGATTGGATCTTGTTGGGCTAAGAAATGAAACAATAAAATGGGTAATTGGGCCAAAAATTAAAAAATTAGAAATGAAACAAATTATTGGGCTAAAAATTTGGATTTAGAAATTGTTAATTTGTTTAGAAAAAATTAAAATTAAAATAATTCGATTTACTCAATATAAAAAAAATTAGAAAGATTCGGTTCTTGGTCTAAAATCGAGAACCGAACCGTACCCGTCGATTCTTGATTCAG